GTTTCAGAATACCACACTTTAAAAATTATATGTTAGAGAATTCTAGTGTTTTTACAATAACTAACAAGATAATGGAAATTATTTTACAATAATTTTGAAAGCACAGGTTATGGCCTATAGAATTACCTTTAGAAATAATTATGCCCATGAAAATGAATGTTCTCAAGAATTATTGACCGATTATCTACAGCATGCACCAAGAATTCTTAGTACTTCATGAAACAAGATAAAGTTTCGAAGCATAAAAGTATAGACAAGATAGATTTAATTGCCCTGGATAACCTAACTTCTTAAATGTGTACGGATAAAGATACAATAGCAATAGCCATCTCCTTAATGGGAAAAGGAGCTATAAAATAAGACATCAAGACACAAGAACCTTTCCTCAAGTTTACTGATAGCATCAATGGCTCTTTAAAGAGCTTCTTTTTCTGTCACCAAATGACAGGTTCTAGACCCTTTGAACCCTTAAACCACAGAGCAGCTAATACCAGTGGCTCTAAAAAGAATCACTGCACCCGGCAGATGAAAAGATATATTTATTCCCTTTTCTTCTCTTCATATCCCTTCCACTGTGCCCAAGTCTCTTTTCTCACCATTTCCTGTTAGCACCTAATCTCTCAAAATGTTTGTGCTTCTCTATAACTCCTGGGGGGGAAAAAAAATCATTCCTCTCACCAGGCAGTCAGGCTTTTCTTTGTTGTTTCAAATTCATCCAAATGCCTGTTGGCTCAAGAAAAATGTCTACTAAGGACACAATGAATTGACACACAAGGCCAGACGATGCTAAGGCTACCTTGATTTACGTTTCGATGGACCCGTCTTCAATTTGACATTCATGTGTGACAGTATTGTCTTTCAAATGTCACCTCTCAGGTCATAAAAAGGAACACCCAGCCTCTTGTGGAGGGAGGCTCTGTCACAGAAGCAGTAGCGTTAGATGAGCGTAACAGAAAATAAAATTCCACCTCCACTAACCTCCGAAGCGAGAGTTGGGACAATCAGACACCACTTCTTTGTGAACTCCTGGTCCCCTCATCCACCTACACCACAAAGCAAAGAGCAGAACATTTCTTCCTGTCCTTCAAGCTCATCCTGGCTTTCCTGTCCACGTGGCAATGTGCCCAGAGCCCAGCAGTGACTGCAGCCTACGTTCTGAAGCCCTCTCTCCGGTCAGCTCCTGGGATGATTGTGTCCTGCAGCTTTCACCAGGGCAGAGCAGCTGAAGATGTGCTACAGACACCAGAGAACAAACGGATGGGGGAAATGTCAATTTGGAAAGCCCAGTGAAACCCATTTCCAAACAGGGAACACGGGGAGACAGGTGAGTGACACCAGAGCAGAAACGGAGGCAAATTCCCTCTAAACCTTAAAAGAGAAAGGCTGTAATTAAGGCCCAAGATCCAAAAGTATGAAAAAAGGCAGATTGCAAGATTTAAAGCCTCATTTCAAATTATTTCAGAAACAACTTTAAAATGTACTAAATTTTTAAAATCAGGACACATAGAGTATCATTACTTCTACAAGCAAAGACGTAAACGCGAAAGTGAATTTTATTGTTTTTGAAAGTAAAATTCAATAGCCTTCATCGGTTTTGAGGGTGGAGTGGAGAAGAAAGGATGAAAATCAGCTGTTTCAGAGTTTTATTGAGCTACACGGCCCTTTTTTCATTTACAATTCACACTCATCCTGAATTTTCTGAAGCTCATAGTTATGATCCCAGTGTGAACACAGACAACAGAAAAATGTCAAATAAAATATTATTACAACTTTTAGTATAAGACAGTACAGAGGAAACAGTGCCTGATCCTTCCTCTTCCAGACTATTTACATTCTTATGAAAGTATACAAGACTACATGAAATGACAACCACACACAGCCACTTCAGAAATTTTCCAGATTTGGGGAAGAAATACTATTAACAAGAGAGCATATGAAAAACCACATGGAGAAATTACCAGCAGCCAGTGTAAAATTTCACCTCTGAAACAGAGCAGGTCAAGGAAGGAAAAAAAAAAAAAAATAGAGGCTTTTGATCTTCCTCTCCATGTCTACCTTCTTTACCCTCAGGTAAAAAGAGGGCCTGCCCTAACCAGAAAATCAGGTGGCTGCTCCCACGCAAGAAGGACCTGTTTCCTGAGGCCCTGGTGACTGTCTAAACTGCTCTCTTTCTATCCCCTCTTAAGGGTGTGCTCTTATTATAAGAGATTATAAAGCAACACCGAAAGAACGGAAGAGGACGAGAAAGGAAGTCAGTCATCACACCTCAGGACACAAAGTTGGCGGCAGACATAGGGACAGTCCCAGGACCACAGCCCTCTGGAGTTCAGGTGACATTGGTCATGTGCCACTCCTAGCAGCAGCAGAAATCCAGGTGGTTTCGGACCACCCAGGAATATACGCATTTTCTGATGGCATGAGGTCAAAACATGGGAGCAGGAAATAGCTGTGAGGTCCAGGATTTAACAACTCAAATGAGTAAATATTTTATTACCCGTATTTAGCACAATTTTTCTAAGAACTCAAATTGGTAAGTTTATGTTATGTGTATTTTACCACAGTGCTTTTAAAAGTTCAATTAAAAAAAAAACACAATATTTGTTTAAGGGCTATATGGTTAAGGCTCTCACGTGCTATATTCTTTAAGAAAGGAAATTGCTACCTAGTGGGGAGCACGAGCAGTCCTAAAAGTGTCCTGTCTGATGAGCACAAGGACAAAGAGTGGTCTCCTCATTTGGAAATATCTAAATTAAAAATAAGCCCCCAAAATCATAAAACTTATGAAAATTTTCTATAACTTATAGGGAGAAAAGATACAGAGAAAAATACTACTCTTGAAAATTATTTACAATAAGAAACAATAAATTTTTAGAAAGCATTTGCTTCTCAAGAAAATATGAAGTAAGAAACGGAAGGTAAGAGTTTAAAAATTCCTTAGCTGCTCTGTCTAAGATGCAAACTAAGATGCAGGCTGAAAAAAGGGGAAAAAAAACCATAAAGAATGAAAATGTAATAGACTTATTGTTTTAGATAGGGCCAAATGGAGAGTAGAAACTACAGAAAAATAGTTCAATAATGTAGAGAACAAACTTGAGAAGCCGTCCCAGAAGGCAGAAGGAAAGGACAAAAAAAGGAAATTATAATTTCTTTACACAACCAAGTCATATATATTAAAATCTGTACCACTGCTACATAAATTATCAAAATCACAAATGATAAAGGAGATATAAAATGGATCAAAAGGTTTTAAAACACACAACAGAATGATATAAATAAAACAATCTTAATAAAATGTACCACATTCAGAAAAAAATATGAATCACCTATATTAGCTCAAAAAGTATGTCAAGTAGAAAAGAATTATGCCAAAAGAAGCTGGAAAATTCATCAAAGAATTACCTCAGAAAAGACTTAGGACCAGAAAATTTAATTAGCACATTCTTCAAAACTTTCCCCAAGGGGGAACCCCAGAAAGTGTAACAAACAGTACCAGGACTTGGAAAAAGATGGAATGTCCCCAGTTCATTGGAAAGCTAGGCTATACAATCATGCATAAAATAAAAGTATAGGCCATTATTATTTTCAAAAGCTTTGCTACGCCAGGATGTTTTAGTGCCTCCAAAAGGAGGGTTGTGAGAAGCAGTGCTGTTCCTGCACTTTAAGATTTCTTCCAGGCTCCCAACCCTTCTTCTGGCCATGCAGTAGCCACACAGGAGCCTTCAGTCACGTAATCAGAAGATTAAGATGGCCCAAGAGCCTAGAATATCCAGAAGAATACATAGAGGAAAAGGGATTCACAAAAGATGGAGAAGAAGAAAAGGAAACTATATTGCAACATACAAAATTCCGATAATAATAGCAATGCTGAGGTATGAAGCAGTACTTTCTGCTGGTGAAATGTAATTTTATCCAATTCTCTTAGGAAGCAATTGACCATATGTACTTAGAACCTAAAATGTCTTTACTCCTTGACCTAATAATCCAACTTCTATCAGTCCATCCTGAAGAATTTAAAATGAAGATTTATATACGAGAATGTACTCAATAGAATTATTAATAGGAAACCAACCAAAACAAAAAGCAAAACAGGAAACAGTCTAAATGTCTAAAACTGGAAAGTTAAATGCATTGTGGCACATTCATATGACGAATTAAGCAACAATCAAAAGCAATGTTTTGGGGAACAAAATTTAATATGTGTAAATCTATTTTCTTTTAGAAAAAAGGCAGAACACAAACTACAAGGTATAATCTTAAGTATATTTTAAAAATATATATATGAAAAACTAAAAAATATAGACCAAAACCTGAATATGATCTCTAGGTGGTAGAACTTTGAGTGAATATTACTTTTAAACATTTTTCATATTATCTAACTTTCTGCACCAAGTATGTATTACTTTTATAATCAGAACACAAGATAAAAACCAAATAATTATTGCACGTGGATAACTACTCATGTGTGTGAAAAAGAACAATTTTAAGTCTCCATTCACTAAAGATAAAAACCTTCTCAACATCGTGCACAGAATTCCATTCTCCCGAACATGAGTCTTATACCGGTGCACTTGAAAGCGTAAAGGTGGAAGGCAAATCAGCCAAATCCCTCAATAAAGACCGGCTGAGCTGCTTCTCCCGGGGGGGTTCAACACACGGTGATCGAGAAGGGAATTCGGCACCCATTTTTTTTAAGAGCAGGTGTTTCGGATGTCCCTTGGTTTTAAGAACCTCCACACGGAGAAACAGGCTTTACAGGGGGGATGGAGGAAGTGAGGAGTTACACGCACCCGTGTACACACACATCCCCGCTCCCTTCCTGTCTCACTCACACACAGACACAGACACACACACAAACACACGCGCGTGCACACACACACACGCGTGCACACACACACACATATACGCACACACAAATCTACTCAATCTTCCCCCAGCCAGACAACTCGGAGCAGAGTCCCGCGGGTGCAGCCGCGCCCATCGCCGCCTGGCGCTGTGGGTACCTGTTCATGGCGCGCGGTGGCAGGGTCGCAGGGCTCCTGAGCATCCTCAGCGCGGCGTGGGTGCCATGCGTGGCCTCTCTGCTCTCCTCCATCAGGAGCCTGCACAGCCAAGAAGAAAACTAAGTTGTTACTACTCGCGGGGAGGAGTTGGCTGGCAAGCTGGGCGCCGTGCTCGCTGCCTGGCGGGGACTTGCCCGCGTGCCCCGGCTCCTCCAGCAGCTCCCGAACCCCGGCGTCTGATGGAGCTGAGGGCGGGAAGGAAGGGAAAGCACAGGACAGGCATGGAGAGCCCGCGACACCGATGCGGAACCCGACGGCAGGGACTTCTCAGCAGCTCCCTCACCCACAGCGACGCACGCCGGGCCCCTCAACCCCGGCGGGTCCTGCTCCGCCCCAGATGGTGGACACAACAACAGTCCAAGTGTCGCCCCTCTGTCACCTCCCACTCACCCAGTGGGGTCTCCTGGACGTCCCCAGCCCACCCCACCTGCAAGCCCCCGCTGCTTGTTCTGGCGTTCTTGCAGCGGCCAAAAGTCTGCATGCCCGAATGGAGCGAATTGGCGGCTGGGGCCCCTGGGGCGCACCGCGGGGCGCACAGTGGGGGTGCACGGAACCCACAGTCACCCCGAGCTCAGCCGGCAGGTTACCTGGGGCGAGCGGGCTCCTCGGTGGAGCCCCAGAGCAGGCGCAGCAGCAGCAGCAGGCTCGCGAGCAGGGCGAGCAGCGCGCCCCCCGGCCG